AAAACAAAAAAAAAAAAAAAAAAAAAAAAAAAAAAGAGTACACTTTTTTTTTTTGGCTGCACCGCACGGCTTGCAGGATCTTAGTTCTCTGACCAGGGATTGAACCCGGGCCCTGGGCAGTGAAAGCGCAAAGTCCTAACCACTGGACCTCCAGGGAATTCCCAGAGTACACATGTTAATGTACACATTATTCTTTGTTAAAACTCAGGTTCACTGAATGCATTCACCTTTCATATACTTCTTTGCAAGTAATAAAACAATATAGGCTTTTCAGTACTTCAGCCTAGGTTTCTGCACAACTGAGTCCAATGGTATGAGGTCTGCCTGTTTACTGATTCTGCTCTATAAAAATGGGAGGTCTCGAAGTACCAGAAAGTTTATTCACAGCCAAAAAGAACAAAATGATTTCTTACTCTCCTGAAATAGGAAATTTTATGTTTTCATAGTCAAAATAATAAACAATTTTGGAAGGTTTTTAAAAAAAGTAGTTGAGAATTTTGATGAAATTCATTTATTTCAGTAGAATAAAACTATAAGCAGCATGAAAATATAAAGTGCTACATAAAAGCCCCACAATACATAAAATTTGAAAGGTTTCATTGGTTTAAACAGTTACAGGTGAAACAGACATTATATATTTTTTCAAGCATGCTATTTTAACTACCTTGATATGTGCTATGTTGGTCAAAGGAAAAGCCATGAGTTACCTAAATCTAAGGATTGGAGGAAGGAGTCCTAAGCCTTTACCTACCAGATCACACATCCGGTTTTGGCCTTATGCTGTCAATAAGGGGTTACATTGGGGCTTTAAAAATAATAGTTTTCTGAAGAGGCCCTTTATTGGGATGTAAGAATGGCTCCAAAGACCAGTTTTGTTCATTAACTCCACAATGGGGGCCAGATCAACAACTTAAGGAGTTTTAGGTAGTAATATGAGCTGAAAGGGAAGAAGCAAAAGATATGCCACTTTCAGATACGTGTATCAGGTGCTTAAAAAAAAAAAACAGCACAAAGAAGGAGATGGCCTGGCTGTTGATGGGTGAAAGAAGAGAGGCAACTCAGATAGAGGAAGACCTGTAGAACATGAAATCTTGGCTTAATCAGTTTTAAAGTATAGACACACCACGGAAACATGCAACGAGATCACATAGATCGAGGCTGGCTCAGTGTGATGGAGAGGAAAGGGAGGGAAGATTGTTCCTAGCACACGATTAACCTCAGGATAGGCTGAGAGAATGCGGATTTCCTTCTTCTCAGGTGATAACATTACCTGGTCTTCCCCCGTGAGTCAGTGACCTCTTGCTAGGAGACCACTGACCACTGAACCAATATTTCTAATATTTTACATTCCAAACCAAGACTTCAGAATGTATTTTCTCATGGCAATAAAGTTATAAAATGGTAACCTATAATTTTCCTGACATACGAGGTGTTCATAAAGTCCTTGGGCCTTTTAGACTTTACCAACTTCAGCTGTAGATATAAGAGAAACAATCTGTAAACACTTTAAAAATGCCAATTTATTAAAATTTAAGAAAACTGTGTATTATATAATAGTATACAATACGTTCTTATTTTAGATGCAGACATGACTGGCTATAAGATGACAACAAATTGTGTCTGATAGTTCATAGAACCAAAATCCTATCAGAGCAGGAGTAAAAATTAAATTTGCCTTTAAAATCATTTTACAAATTGTTTCTATCTTGTCCATAATTTCAGTTAGTTAAAGCTACATAAGGACTTTATAAATACCATTCCCCAAAGTATTCAAGATACATTATGGACTAATGGATTTTGTCTAATGTGGCCTTGTCTAGAACCTAAACATGATTTACAACACTGAGTCGTAAAAAAAAAAAAAAAAAAAAATTAACTTACAAATGCACTTTTAGAGCATAACCTATTTGAAAGCTGGGGACTGCCTGTATTTAAAAATTAAATCTTCATTAACAATACCCTCAAGAGTGCCCTCAACGCTGCTCCTGAACATGCTGACGGTAACGTTTTTCTGTGATTATGTGTTCTCACCAGGCATTATTTACGATGATAAAATTATCCACTAGAGTCTGTGGAGCTAGCTAGCACTAAGTTATATACTGATTTATTGATCAATATATCAATAAATATATTGATATATATTGATATATTGATTTTGCACTGAAAATTATCTCTTGGGCTTTGATTAGGTGGGCAGTTCTAATTTCTATCACTGTTACATGGGCCCTGAGCTTTTATATTAAAATGGTATGTGAAATATTTCAATATTATGATATTCCTGGAATAATTAAATTTATAGTGTTTATAAAGCTAGGCATATAATACAACTCAAAAGATATACAATTCAAAGTACAGCAAACATTCAAATCTTAAGATCCTCCCATTTAACTTGTGGAAGAATATCAAGCAATTTCCTGGCTTGGATCCTTCCTTCCTTAAATCAAAGCTCTAAAGAGGGTTGTTTTCCTTCTTTCTTTTAAAATCTTGTGTGTGAACTGGAGAGAAGGGGATAACAGCATATCAAAGTGGTTACAAGGCATTATTCCCTCTTCAAGTAACATCCAATAATAATGATGTAATCTCATTTCCTCAGAAATGTTTGACCAAAATAGTTTACTTTCACCGAAGAATGTTTAGGACACAAAGTCAGTCACAGAATGGGCAATTCCAGTATGTCTCATGTGAATACATTTTAAGCAAGCTATTTGAGGGGTTTTATTTTCCCTTTTTTTCCAACTCTTATCCCTATATCATTCTACATTAAGTAGAAACAGAGTACTCAATAAATGGTATTGAGTAACTAGTAATACTCATTGGAACTTAAAATACCATTTTTTATCCAAAAATTTTAAAGGGCTATACAGAAAAGTATCACAAATTTACATAAAGAGAAGCTGAGGCATGAGAAACAACAATAAGTTATTTCCCTATAAAGCAGGTCATACAGAGAGACAAGGGACTTTGACTTCCAGCCCCTTATACTAAGCAGGACACAGTCTGAATGTCTAGCTATATTTATACTGAATTATAAGGATCGAAAAAGGAATGAAGGGTAAATACAAAATAATCTTTTTGTAAACAATTCTTAGATTATACCCAATGCAGAATGTTTAATGAAGTAGCTGAGTCACAGCTCTTAAGACACAAAACAATATTATAACTCAAAGTCAAATATGTACTCATTGGCCAGATATATCCGTCGGAATATAAGAGCTGCCAATGCCAAAGTCAAGATGACAATCAGCACGGCAGATCCGCCATGATCAGTGTGGTGGTCTCTTGGCGGCCGGCCCTGGGTCACAGCTGGTGAAGCAGACGACCTTCTCTGACCCTGCTGCCGGGCCCGGCGCTGTCGAGGGCTCATGGAGGTATCCTCAGCTACCGGTTGGGCAGGTTGTTGAAGGGACGCTGCTAAGGTGTTCTGGACTCCACACTATGAAATTTTAATACATTTTGTTTGAAACTGGCAAAGAACACTCGTATACGTACACACAGGCTCTTCAACAGCACAAGGAATCTCCGAGCGCTAAACGTGACTAAGGGCAAAACTACCAAGAATTCTCTGAATGCTGAGATTAGTACTTCACCCCCCGGAATAAGCCAGCAACACAATTTATTCTGAGTGCTCACCAGGTAGAGGAGGGATTTACCAGCAACAAATAAGACAAGGACAGAGTTTGCCCATATTCTCCACTGATCGCTTTGTACTCTCCGGCAGCAATTCAAACAGTATCTGCTAGGCATCTGGGTACCTCCCTTCTTTCAGGAGAGTCAAGGAGGGAAGCAATTTGATTCCCACCTTCTACATAAAAATTTGCCATATTCTAAATGGCAAAAAAGGGCATCTCGCAACAGTGGTCTTCCCCCAGTGTTATCTTATTACATCAACAATCATGGAACATAGGAAATAATTTCAAACCATATGTTCTTCATAATAATACTGTTATAAAAAATAGATGTGGTTTTCAAACCAGGCTTATCATTTCTCACAATCCCTGTCAACTGAATTGAACACAAGTCTAAAAGAACTCTTTACTGTGTGTTTGAACTGTGTTATTCTATGAATGTAAAGCATGAACTCTTGTCAAGAGTGCCCTGGGTATGTGCTGAGAAACACGTGGAGGTGGTTAGGGGAGACTCAGTGTATCCCCCTGAAAAGCACTGGATGTCAACCGCTTTCCATCGTTTCAATAAACGCTTGGTCAAAACATAAACACAATGTGGTACCAAGTGATTCAAAATCGTAAATGTGTTTTATAGACAAGAAAGCTCTACAAAATATGAATTCCACTTTATTTATATAGATACATTAACTCTACCTCTAATAACCCAACAGTCTTTCTTACATTGAAAACAACTTTATGCTGATTATAATAGTGTCAAGACACATTCTTTCAGATAAAAAATAAGAATGCATGTTTTATTCAGAATAACTTTTTAAATTGAGTAATTACAAAAAAAGTATTGAACGAAAATACGTTTCGTTATAGAAATTTTCAATATTTAGAAAAAAAAAGAATCTAACAATGTAATTCAAATACCTTTTTTTTTTTAAAGGTAAGAGAATGAGCTTTGTCCTGGCAACAACTGTAAACACAGGGAAAAACTGCTGATCTAAGTTACCTGCAGAAGAAATTACATTTTAATTCTGACAGCACCCCAACATTAAAAGATTTAAATAATCTGAGTTTCTAAAAACTATCCTTTGGAAGCACTCAAATGTAGTGACCCATAACCCAGAGGTAGAAAGGAACTACCCACTCTGAGTTAAAAATAAAAGTGCTGATGCTGAATTAGAGGTGCATGAAATTGGACTTCCATACTCCAGGGCTCAGGAGCAAGGTGCTCACTGAAGAGCAGATACACAAAGCTGTTACATTTTATGTCTAATGTTGCCACACTGTGTCATGTAATGACTTATTACAACATTCCGCTGGAAATCTCCCATTCTTGCAGCCATTCAGCCAAGCAGATAAAAGTGTCTGATAGAGCACAAGCACTCAGGGCTTATAGGGAAATGGGTTCTTAAGGAAAATAAAAAACAAGCTGGTAGTATCAATTCAGAAACTAGCATAAGAGACTGACTCATCTTAAAGCTTTGATTTTATACATGTTGTTTTGTCCATTAGTTTGAGGGGAGAACACTATCCTGCCCATATACCTGACTAAAACAGGGAGTCTTATCATTACTAGGCTGGCTTCACCACTTCATAGATGTGTGACCCTAAGCAAGTCATTGAACCTAAGACTCAGCTCCCTCTCCTGTACAAGGATACTATCCAGTTCAGTAGTTGCGAAGGATAATTAAATAGGATAATGATATAAAGTGCTTAAGATACACAATTGCTTATTAAATGTTAGTCAATATTACTATCGATATATCCCTTTGAAGACTCCAGATTTAGGTAACAAAAAAAGTCATGACTTTATTTAGGACTGCTTTTCAGAACTTTATTTAGGGCTGCTTTTCAGAACTTTATTAGTATGATTATTTGGAGTTGAAGGACTAATTGGACTAAATTTTGGTGGTTCATATTGAACTGCAGATGGAGAATCAAGTTGGCCTTAGCATTTTCAAAATGCCATAGGTTTGGTGGTAGGACTTTTAAATGTCTGCTGTTTGCCTAAACTTGTTCAAACACACACATCACAGAATGAAGACTTAAGTCATAATAGTTTCCATTTCCTTCATTAAGATGAAGTGATATTTCTGGGAACATAAAAGTATGTGACGTTTATATTTAATTAAATTACATTTAAATATATATAAAAAAATCAGTCACAGATAAGTCCCTTGTTATATATATATATATATATATATATATATATATATATAAAAGCTTTTCTATAGTAACCTAGAATAGCATCTGGGAGGGAGTTTTGTGTTTGCTTTTTAACACAAAATGAAATGGCTTATTCAGAACCTCAATCCCTGGGGAGAAGAAAACAGTCTGATAGACTGGAAAAACATAAATCGACCATCAGTATTGTTCCCATTTATACATAGCTAAAAAATCTGCATCAAATAAACGGATGGCGTGATGTTATCTGCTGTATTTAGACTTTGGGCAATCTCTCGCCCCCTCAAGGCTAAAAAAACATACCTTATCTGGGATTTGATGTATAACATCTCAGTGAATTTATATTACACTTGCATGTAAAGCAGCTACCCCCAGCCAAAACGAGGTTTCAGTTACTTCCAGTGATAAAATTATATAATCACACTCTGAGATAATCTGTATGTAAATGTAGTTAAGAGCTAAATTTGCAACTGTATGCAATTTTATTGTTTTAACCAGAATTGGTATCAATTACCTATACCTACGAAAAAGAGTTCTGCTTTATGTACTTTAAAATCAAAATGGGTGGTGATCATTTTGTAATGTATAGAAATATCAAATCACTATGCCGTGCACCAAACTAACGTAGTGTTGTAGGTAAATTAAACTTCCAAAACAAACTCATAGAAAAAGAGATCTGACTTGGGGTTACCAGAGACAGGGGCCTGGGGGTAGGGGAAATGGATGAAGGTACGAATTCCCAGTTATAAGATAAATAAGTACTAGCGGTGTCATGTACAATACGATTAACAGAATGAACACTGCTGTTTGTTATGCATGAAAGTTGTTAAGAGAGGAAATCCTAAGAGTTCTCATCACAAGGAAGAAATGTTTTTTTCTTTTTTCATTTATTTTGTATCTCTGAGATACTGAATGTTCACTAAACTTACTGTGGTAATCATTTCATGGTGTATGTACGTCAGATCACTATGCTGTACGCCTTTAAACTTATACAGTGCTGTATGTCATTTATATTGCAATAAAACTGGAAGAAAAAATAAGAAAAAAAATCAAAATGGAAAATACTGTAATAACAAAACTACTGTTTGTGCAATCTAATTTACTAAACTTCTTGATTTCTTTATCTGTATTCCTAGTATTTTTTTAGTATTTTTTTTTTTTTGCCATATGTGGGCCTCTCACTGTCGTAGCCTCTCCCGTTGCCGGACGCGCAAGCTCAGCGGCCATGGCTCACGGGCCCAGCCGCTCCGCGGCATGTGGGATCTTCCCAGACTGGGGCACGAACCCATGTCCCCTGCATCGGCAGGCGGACTCTCAACCACTGCGCCACCAGGGAAGCCCTGAATTTTTTTTAAATACTGCAGGCTAAAACAGTTTACTGACTAAAATTAAGTCACTATATCTCCAATTCATGAAACTACATGGGCAACACATAAAAATGATTTAACTCTTAGCATGCACTTTTTTCTTATACTTCCATCTCCAGTCCCCCAAAAACTTCCTTTAGAGCACCCTCTCCCCTGCTTTCTCCAATCCACTTCTTTCTGCCCATCTCACTCTCCGAATGGGAGAAGACCACTCAGTCCCACTTGATAATAAGTATTCCTGAGTAAAAGGAAAATCTGTATTTGCCTAGCTTCTATTTCAATTTTCCTGACCCTTTAAAATCCTCTATAAACTGGACAGGGGGGAAAGATGTGGCTACTCAGCCAAACAATCTGTTACAGAAAAGACAGTTCCTCTCTTATATATAGGAAGGAGGGACTTCCCTGGTGGTGCAGTGGTTAAGAATCCGCCTGCCAATGCAGGGGACACGGGTTCGAGCCCTGCTCCAGGAAGATCCCACATACTGCAGAGCAACTAAGCCCGTGTGCCACAACTACTGAGCCCGCGCTCTAGAGCCCATAAGCCACAACTACGGAGCCCATGTGCCACAATTACTGAAGCCCACGTGCCTAGAGCCCATGCTCCACAACAAGAGAAGCCCGTACTCCGCAAGGAAGAGTAGTGCCTGCTCGCCACAACTAGAGAAAGCCCGTGCACAGCAATGAAGACCCAATGCAGCCAAAAATAAATAAATAAATTTATTTAAAAATTTAAAAAAAGAAAGCAAAGTCAATGTTTTCCCCCATAATCTTAATTATTTAGCAACAATCCAGTCACGGTTTCTTAATCAGTCTCTCCAACGACCAAAGTCTGCTAATGTTTAGACAATAGGTCAGGGTACAACTAATAAGACCCATGGCACCCGTGTAATCTTTCATTCAATAATTATTTATTAGACACTTACAATGTACAAGGGAGCACCGTCCAACCGAACTTTTTGAGATGATAATGTTCCATATCTATGCTGTCTAATACAGTAGCCACTAGCCACATGTGGCTCTCGAATACTTGAAATGTAGCCAGTGTGACTAAGGAACTGAAGTTTTAATTTAGTTTCATTCTGAATAAGGTAAATACAAATTTAGATAGTCACATGTGGCTAGTGGCTACTGTACTGGACAGAGATGGTCTAAGGCAAATCTTTGACTCCAGGCCTTTAAGTCAGTGCCTTAATGCAGCTTAACAAACCTTCCAGAGATAGAGTGCCTATTTAGAAAGCAGCTAATATATGTATATTTTGTTTCATTCAGAGTCTAGCACTATATTGACACTAACTTTTCAGAAAAGTCATAGAATTCTGGAAGGACAATTGGACCTAAAATTTGTTTAGTCCAGCCCCATTTAACAAAAAAGAAGGCTCAGAAGGTATGAATAACTTGCTTAAGATACTATAATTCACTAGAGGGAGAGCTAGGCTAGAACCCAACTGTTAGGAGAACCAAAATATTCAGATATTTCATCTAGATATCGCCTCTTCTACTGCAAATAATGACAGTGGTATAGATATAGATATAGATATAGATATAGATATAGATATAAAAGACAAGAGCCATACCGAGGTACTTGCTGTAGCACCCTGGAATGTTGTAGGTATATCATCCTGTAAATCGTTCAGTGAAAAAGAGTGGTTTAAGTCCGACTCAGTGATAGGCTTTCCAGATGAACTGACTTCTGCCTATAAAAAAAAGATACACCCAAGAGCAGTGTCACAAGAGGAGATGTACAGAATAACCCACAACCTACCAAGTCCTCTCCTGGATTTATTTTAATTAGTACTTTAATATCAACTAGTCAGTTAAGCTCTGAGCATTCATTCATGTCCAATACTGTGCCAGATATTTTAGGAAGAGTAGACAATACCTATTCTCAAGGAGCTGTTACTTGGTGAGGAACAAAACTAACACTCCTGGTTCACGATCCACTCCAAAAAGCTCTAAAAACTAAAGTTTTTTGTAGTTTTCAGGCAAAGTCTGACGTGAGGCTATTAACAGTCTTGATCGCACATTAGTGTAAATATTCCCAGGTTTGCTGATGAGATATTAATAGATTTGATTATGGGGTGCTGCCCTAGATCCCAGTATGGATGTTAGTATAGATTTAATATTTCTAAAATCTGAAATTCTGATGTACAAAAGACATCTGGCCCTAAGATTTTCAGAGAAGTAATGTTAAGTACAATAGGAATCCTCAGAAGGAAGAAAATAACCAACATTTATTAAGCACCTCCTCTTCCAGGCACCGCAGTAAAAGAGAAGGGAAAATTTCTCCCAAGAACTGGACATGGGAAGGTATACAAGATGTAGAGAGGGAAGAAAAGGGAGGAGGCAGCATGTTGCTTAAGGCAGGATGACTTTTTTTGATGGAGCTAAAAATTAAATTCCAGAAGTAATCATATGCAGAGCAAAAGGATTGAGAGACATGTCAAAATATTAATAACAGCTATTTCTTGGGGATAGGATTATGCATGATTGTTATTTTCTTATTGTTTATCTATATTTTCTATAATAATAGTTAAAATTTATTAAGCACCAGAGACAGTTCTAAATGCAATACATTTAAATGAGCATTAACTCAATTCTCATAAGAATCCTACAAGTACCATTATTATTCACAGATGAGAAAAAGGTACAATGTAAGTAATATGCCTGATGTCCTACTAACAATAAGCAGCAAAGCTGAGATTTGAACCCTGGCACAGTATACCAGAGTCTAAGTTTTAACCATTACTATGCTATAATAATAATGCTGCTTCTGTGAATATATATTATTAGTTTTATAATAAGAAAAAATTATTTGTAAAAACCTCAGTGAGACAGAACTACACTGCTTTACTTTCTGTCCAAAAGTTGGCAATAAACAAAAGGGCTACAGAATTAGAATTTATTTACAAATTTAGAGTACCTTAAAACTGATTTGTCTAGCCAGTTCCTTGGCTTCTTGGTCAGCCTGACTTGAATCGCTTCCAGATTTTAAAGGCAACAGGACATCCTTCATGGCAAAGCCACATCCCTCACAACAGAAATCTTGTGATCTGGTAAGAAGTAATTTTTTGATGGGTATAAATCAAATACTTGAAAGTTAATCCAAGACAGTCAAATACTGAATGATTAAATTTAAAAGATCACTCAACAATGCCATATCACACTCATCTACATGCAAATTCGACAATTTTGGCAATAATTATAGTTCTGAGACAAATACACAAGTTAAACTGCTTTTTAAAAAAATCCATGTTAATTATACCTCAATTTTAACAATCTGAAATTAAAAAAAAACAAAAACTAGGGCTTAGATTTCATTTTTTCCTAACATACTGCCTAAATAAAGTAAGCTTTAGATCTGTAAGACAAAACATATAAATTGTTTAACTGCACTGTCCTCAAGATCACACATAACAAGCCTATGTTAAGTCTATGTAAAAAGTCCATTTTAAAGCTCAAATCGGGAATTCCCTGGCAGTCCAGTGGTTAACACTCGGCACTTTCACTGCTGTGGGCCCAGGTTTGATCCCTGGTAGGGGAACTAAGATCCCACAAGCCGTGCAGTGCAGCCAAATAAAAACAAATTTTTTTTAATAAAATAAAATAGAATTTACAGATATTTCCAAGGAAAAATTCACAAACCCTACTAATCAAAATAGTAGTACAACTTGAAAGATCAGAGAACCTGTGGAAAATCCAGACACTGAAATTCATCATTCATTATAATAAGTAGAGGCTCAAAATAAGCCTGCTAACTAGACTATTTCCTAATATTAATTTGTTTCTGTATGTTTTTATTTTCTTCTTTGTATGACTGTAAGTAAATGTGTATAATATGCAGAAATATATATTGTTACATTGCTGAACTTTTAAAACTATTTTGTCCTACTTCTAGTTCAACAAAATAAGAGTCTTAGGGGCTTCCCTGGTGGTGCAGTGGTTGAGAGTCCGCCTGCCGATGCAGGGGACACGGGTTCATGCCCCGGTCCGGGAAGATCCCACATGCCACAGAGCGGCTGGGCCCGTGAGCCATGGCCACTGAGCCTGTGTGTCCGGAGCCTGTGCTCCGCAATGGGAGAGGCCACAACAGTGAGAGGCCCGCGTACCGCAAAAAAAAAAAAAAAAATCAACAATTAGTTTTAGCACTACTCAAAGGAGAGGCTACTCTGAATCTAATGACTAATCTGGGTTATACAGACAGAATGTACTTGAAAAAAACCAAGAAGGCAATACCACTGGGAAACTACAACCTGATAAAGAAAATCTTTGCTTTATTCCAGATCATTTATTGAGCCCTTGCTATGTGGCAGATGCTACAGATACAAAGGTGATAAAATGGATTCCCTGCCTGCCTTCAAGGAGTTTTTAAACTTTTGTGGAAAGCTACATACATCTCATTACTCTGGCTCTTTTCCATCTGTAAAACTGCCCAAGTGGAGATAAATGACCAGTACGATCTTGTAGAAGGTATCACTCATTGTAGGTTGATATTATCAACTATTTTTTAAAACTAGATAGCATGAAACAAATTCTTCAGAGTCTGGTCGCCCCTGGGGAAATTGATACAACTGAATTTCTGAAATAGCAAAACTAAGACTAGATCCTGTAGAACCAAGGTGAGTCACAAAGAGACAGAGCCTATCTCCTAGTAGCCATTATCCAGAACAGTATTCAGATCGTAACAAATAAGGAAATGCAAAACTTACTTTTTCGCAAGGGTTCTTCTTTCCTCAGGTGTGTAATCTAGAGAACCTATGGCTCCCTCTCCTTTTGTTGGCATAAACCCAATGATGGCTAATAATGCTGTTCTTACTGAAATGAAAAGTAAACATCAATCTAAGTTGCTCTGTAAAAGGAACTGGGTTTACTCTGGAAAGAGAAAAAGAAAAGACTCATAGGGTTTCACTGAAGAGGTACAAGTAGGGGATTGTATTAAAATGATGCAAAAATCTAGACAAGGAAAAGAATTTTATTATTTATTCAATAATATCAAATTATTTATCCAAAACAGCTTCAACCTCAAGAGAGTATTACACATTATTATTATGAATTGAATAAAGTTATATAAGATTTATATTCACTTTAAATACTCACTACTCCATGAAGGCTGCCAAGTTTCAGGATGATGTCCCGAGATGCTCAAACAGATTTTCTTGCCTACTTCAAATCGTCCATTAGCCTTAGGAATAAATAAGGTATTTTAAAAGTTATACATGTGTGTGTTTAATGTTTTATACTTTAAAGTATAAATATATTTTATATATAAAGAACTTTTGAAGATAACTTTTTAGAGAATTTTAAAAGGATGGAACCTCCAAGGGGATACAGATTTGTGTCCTCTTACAGATACTCCACAAATATTTGCTGGATTCTGAATGAATAATAAAAGCTGTTTTTAGAAGCTGTAGCAGCTTTGTGAAACTGAGTTGCACAAGTGACATCTAAATAACTGACATATAAAGATGTCCTGATGTCCTCCTCTGTGCCTAGTATGGTGCTAGACTCTGGGAAGGATCTAAAAGAGAAGAAACTAGATACTGGGGAGGAAGGCTCTGAGATGGGAGTGATTCTCAGAAGGATGATGCAATTTCATACAGGAACACGGAAGTGAAAGATGAGAGAGAATGATTTCAGTTTTGTCTTGGCAGAAGAGCTACTGACGATGTCCGGCAGGCAGGCAGAAATACAGACATGCTGGCATCAGAAGAAGATAACACATTTCTGGTACCTGACTTTCACAGAGGTGATCGTTGAAACCATTTCATAGAAATAAGAGAAAACAGCTCTAGTCTGAACTCGTAGACTATCCATACTTAGGGGAAGGATAGGAAAAAGAGGCATGAAGTTAGAATATAAGTTCCACGTGGGCAGAGAATTTGACTTATTCTCTGCCACACCCACAGGGTGCATGACACGTGTTTAATAAATATTTGTTGAGTGAAGGCTGGAGAAAACTTTTCAAAAGAGAGGAAGTGAATCAGAAAGAGTAAGTACTGAAAACCAGTACACATGACGATATCATCGGTGAACAGCTGCTGCTCCACTGCCCCCCACCAGTTTCCCCACGCACCAGCCCTCCCTTCAGACCACCTGGCTCTCCCCACGATCTAGCAACTAAAAGAAGGGAAGGGCCCCTCCAGGGCCTCCTGCTCCAGCCCTACTGCCAGCATTAACAATTCTCAACAACACCTAGTGTTTAGTAAGCAGCATCTATATGCCAGGAACTTTATAGTGTGATTATATTTACCATACACATCCCTTTTGACAAATGAGAACACTGAATTTCAAAGAGATTATGTAACCTGCCCGTGGTGTAATGGAAACTGCACTGGCCAGAGTCCAGGGCTATTGGCTCTAAAACTAATGCTCTTTCCACTACACCAAACACTATAGGTAAAAGCAACATTAATTTGGTAATGATGAATATCTTTTCTTTTACCATTTGCTAACCCCATGTGTATCAGATGTTTAACTTAAACTTAGATGGAATAGGATGAAGACTGAGAAGAGGTGGTGAGATTTCTCAAACTGGTCTCTGAGACTGGTGTAGTAAGCCTGTTTAAACAGGGTGCTATGTGTGGGAACCAGAACACAACAGGCTAAACTAGAGTTAGCATGTCTTGAAGGTTATCAGAAGAGAAAAATAAGACTGCGGCTTAAAGTGGTAACAGAGATATGGGAAGGTTTTTGTGTTTTATTTTTGCTTCTTTCAAGGTTAGGGGATAATTAAACACACATAAATGAAAGGAAATGAAGGAAGAAAAGCTTAACACTTAAGAGAGGAATTTACTGATGGAATACTGTCCCAGGAAATAAAAGAGAAAACTGGATCAACAGCTTTCCTTTACATGGAGATAAAATATGTGAAGATGGAGAGAAATTCTAAGATATAAATAGTAATAACATAGCTAACATTTATTGAGGACTGTGTCAGTTCTTATTCTAAGAGCTGCACGTAAAGATGAGGAAACTCAAGAACAAAGCATAAGAAACGTAAGAAACTGAAGGAGATAACGTGATTAAGAGGTACAATAACAGTAACTACCCTTTATTGAGTACTTACCATGTGCCAGCCTAGCACTTTGCATACATTAATTCACTGAATCCTAACAACCACACTATGGCAATTAGTATCATGAGTACTTCTCAGATGCTTCAACTTCCTAGGAATTTTTTTCCAGGAAAAAATACAGTCCAAGGTCTGGTCTCCAAAAGCAAAGTTATAATAATAATGGTCCACTTTATTTCTTAATGAAAATGAGTATGCATACACACTTTACAGCCACCAGGAAGAGTTACACCAGAAGCATTCCAAAAAGTCAAGAATTCTTACCGTTAGGAGAATAATGCTTGGTGGTTTCATGGGATACTCTGGAGGCAGTACTATTCGTCCATGATAAACTCCTCCATCAAAATCTGAATCCGGGGGCCCTCTAACTGTGAAGTGCCATTCAAAAAGGTTATCCTGAACAAAAACAATAACCAACAAGGAATCAATAACATTAAAAAGTTGGATTTTTTTAATCAGTGAGTATTAGAAACATGGGTGAGAAAAATTAACTTTTATATTACTGCTAGAACAGTTTCTAATGCACACAATGTCTCAAGTATAAAAGTTATAAATAAAAGCTATTAAATCTAGTTTTCATGTCCCATAAGAGCTAAAATGTTTTTAAACAAATGCATTTTAAAACATCTGAGCATTGTTATATATTCATAAATAAGATTATAGATTTACATATTTCCTATTACTTTAGCTCCATTTATTTTCTCTGAAAATCTCTTCTGAAGCCCTGAAGTTTTAATCTGGACTAATTGCTTTCTTGACACATTCCAAAATTCTTCACTTGAGTGTCTTCTAGGTTTACTGGAATCTCAATCTTCCTCTGTATTTATTTGTTATTGTTTGTTTTTTTGGCTTCTGCATTATTTTAATGTGGTTTATTGTCAACTATGTGCCTCTGAAAGGAATACAAGGAAGAAAATCTGTGTTCTGGTATGTCTGAAAATATATTTATTTTGAGTTCATGCTTGATTGCTCTCTGGATGGGGATTTAATTAATTAATTAATTAATTAATCCTTATATCCTAATTAGTGATCATTATTATTTATATAATCAAGTAATTTACTATAAATTTAGATTGTTTTAGCAAACTTTTAAAAATTATCCCTCATAGATGCCTAAAAGCTCTTTAGTAAGTGGTCAGTAATATTAACACATAGGCTGTTAACATCATCTTACAGTTAACCACGTACTTCATAGTTTGCAAAATGCCTGCACATATTATCACATCTCATTCTCACTATTACCATGAAAACCAGATTGGGCACATTTAAATACCCTCCTTTCACAGATGGGAAGACTGGAGAGAGGTAGAGATGTTCGTACAAAGAGCCCAAACTAGCTGTAGAGACCCCGCAAGGGGCTGAGTCTTCCACCTGTAGAGCCTGGAGTTCTTTCCACTTTCCCTCCTGAGGGAAGATCTAAAATTAGTTTAGTATCTGAGGCCCACTTTATAGAAGCAGAAATCTTCTTCTTCTAAAATGTCTGATTCTGAATGGCTAATAGAAATACTCAGTGTACACCTGAAACTAACACATTGTAAATTAACTATACTTCAATTTTTTTTAATGGTTAAAAAAAAAGTTAAAAAAAAACCCAAAAAACTCAGGAACTACAGGGAATAAAATATATCAATAAAGCATATCAAACACATTTGTAATGACTCAAAGCAATGAAAAAACAATTTTAAGAAACTTATTTAAAATATTAAAGTATTAAAATACATATGTAGAAGGCAGAGATAGAAACTAACCTCTAAAGGCTGTGCATGATAATGATCTGTTGGATCTTTCAATTCTGCTGCTTCTTTCATTAAACGTTTAACGGCTAAAATAAAATTCACAAGATAGAGACATTTAAAATTTACTTTTCTAAGTGATTAGCACAGATTTACAAACCTAATGAAAGAGTTCCTACTTCAACAAAAAATGTGTAGAGGACTTGTTCAACAGAGCATATCATTTAATTATGGGATAACAGTAATAATGGTGGGGAGGAAATGGTAGCTAGGCACTAGAAGAGTTACACGTTAAATTAAATATATAGGGAAGTCTCATAAAGTCACTATTTTTATTTAGTAAGTACTTATATATACTTCCTATATGGTAGCACTCAAACATTAATTCATGTAATCCTCAAAACAACTCTATGAGATAGGTGCGATTTTTAACCCCATTTTCCAGATGAAGAAACCGAGACATGGAGAAATTATATAACACGTCCAAGGTCACACAGCTGATAAATGACAGAGCTACGATTCCAACACAGGCAGTCCAACTCTACCTTGTTAAAATATTTAACAAAAACGTGGCCTCTGGAACTCATGCTCATGAACAGTAAACCCCCTATATCCTCAACCTCGTGGGACTTTCTACCCACTATCTTGCATTAACTTAATGGCACTGTCCCCAGAGGTCAATGAATCTCTAGAGCCCTAGCTGAATTCCTTTTTGAAATGATTCTTCGGCTTAATTAAAACCTCCAATCCACTGACCCCATAACATTCTTCACTCCACCTATACCTATATTCACTTCCCTCTTCATCCACACTTTTGGCTCTTAGGAGTTCCTCTTTCATGTTCCCCTGACAAAATTTAATTCTAACTGAGCTAACTCAACCATCTTCTTTTTCTTTTTAATATTTATTTTATTTATGGTTTGTTTTTTTTTTTTTTCTGTGTCGGGTCTTAGTGGCTACACACAGGCTCTTTGTTGTGGCTCACGGGCTCCAGGGCATGTGGGCTCTGTAGTTTGCTACGCGCGGACTCTCGTTGAGACGGAGCTCAGTAGTTGTGGCCCACGGGCTTAGCTGCCCCGCCGCCTGTGGTATCTTAGTTGCCCAACCAGGGATCGAACCCGTGTCCCCTGAATTGGAAGGAGGATTCTTTACCACTGTGCTACCAGGGAAGTCCCCCAACCATCTTTTTATCTGGAGTCTATACCCAAACAGCTGAGCATTACCGAAGGGGGTTTAAAAAGTCAGAGACAGGCACATTGATGCCATTATAGAGTTATTAACAACAATCTCCACTGGGACACAATGCCACCCTGTGTTCCTACATTTCTCCAGGAAGCCTCCACCCAACCCCCTCCAACGAGCACTCCAAGACTATCTCACACCTATTTACTCTCAATTCTCTTCCGCCTCTTTCAGTTAACGGCACAGACTTTTAGCCCCGTGATCAATGACTATTAACAGCTTATGACAGTTTACAATCCTATGTGTATCTGTACCCTCTTTCCTCCCCTATTGGTTCACAAAGGTCAATCCTTTTATTCCAGCCCCCTCACCCTCAAGCTGTAGGTGCTAAAAAAATGTCAGGATACTGGTGTAGGATACAGGAGAGCAAAGCCAGGGAAACACCAGATGGCCCAAGGCTCTCCAAAACTCTGCTTGAGAACCAACGGACACAGTTCAATACATGCTATGAGAGAGGTGTGCACCAGGTGGGCACCTAACCTGAGAGCAGACAGAAGAGAAAAGGGGTCAGGTACTGACATCCGAAAGAAAGACAGTAGGAATTACCCAGCTCAGTATGAATAAGCAGAGGAAACAATAAAAGTAAATTTGTGGTGGCACAGGTTGGAATGTTATGGGGAGAGGTTAACTGAGAAGCAACTCTCACACACTACAACCAAACAGTTCGGTATGTGTCAGGACTTTTTGCATAAAATTTCATTTTAATCAAGGGTTCCTAAGCTGGAAAAAAACTCTTAAGTCACTATCCTATTCCATAACTATTAATATTCTTTTCCATCTCCGACTCTGAACTAAGCCCTATAGGCAGAGAATTTGTTCATCTGATCAGCAAATATTCATTAAGTTCATACTAGATGCTATAGCTACAACCAAAATAAAATATAGCTTCTGTTATCAATATAGGCTGGGGGGAGGAGTCAATACAAATCAGCATGATAAATGAATGCTATATTAGAAACACGCACATATATATTGAGACACGGTCTCCCCCCAAGTTCCAGACACTAACTAGGCTTTGTTCAATTCTTTGCACACAGTTCACCTTCTCTCTACTTCAGACCTTCCTTCCTACATAGCAGTCCCTCAGCTTGCATTGCTGTTCCTCCTCCCTTCCCCCACTTCATCATTGAGTCTGGCTCCCACCAGACCTTTATGAAACTTACTCAGGAAGGTCTCCCTGACACCCTCCTTTGTCCACTCTCAGAGGAGCGACTAGAGATTTCCATTTGGACACATAAAAATCCTTGAGGAGTCCTGGCAGCAGAGTGGAGAGCAGGAATGCTCTC